GTTCTCCAAGATCCCCCATTGGGCCACCCAAATACTTTGAGAAGGCATCCAAGATTGTGAGCCCGAGGAACAGTTTCCGCAGCATCCAGCAGCCTCGTTGAATTCCCAGTCTCTTGGTTTTACTTTCAGAAGTCAGTTGTTAGTTTGCAGCAGTTTAGAAAGTCTCTTTAAGTTTTAGTTTCATGTAACCTTTGTATAGAGCAAGGTAGGTGGCACACTCTTGTATCTAGCCTTGTTCATAGTCTGATATCCTTTCTTTAGCTTAACTTCTTGTAAACAACAGCACTGTAAAAGTGAAAAAAATTTGTAAAAACCAGTTGAACAAAATTGAAAAAAAGAGCAGCTTTTGAGCTTCATTTCTCCAAATAGCAATGATGTGAATTATGGTGGTCATTTAGTTTGCTCTACTTTTTTTTTTCCCATAATATAAATTTGGACCTAAGATTTTACTCTTGTGTAGCATAATTGTGCTATTTGCAAGTAGTAACGGAGTCAGAAACTTTGAAGAAGGGTGTGTTACAATATAATTTTTCAGTGTAGGGTGTGCGTTGGATCAACCTTCGCCTTTAAGTGGCTTTGCCCATGTTTGCAAGAACATGTCCCTCACATCCTTTATGATCCCAGCATATGGTCTGGATATAAAGGCAAATTCAAGATTTAAACTCATAGCCATTCACAATAATGTTATTTTGTTAAATGTTGACATGAACGGCCAAAAAATAGTGGAATAAGATGCTTTATCCTGCCTATATATTCGTTTAAAAGATGCATTACTTGTGTGGCCAAGTTATCAGCACCATAAAAGTAGAAAAAAGATGGCACTAGAAAAAGTAGTATGTTTTCATGCAAACGGTCAATTCCATTCCTAATCAAATGACATATTCCCCCTTCAATTCGCAAGAAAGTAAAAATGACTTTTAAATTAAAAATATATAGAAGGTACGAAAACACTTTTTAATCTTATGATCTTAACAAGATATACAAATTAAAACGGTGAGGGTATAATAAAAGATGGAAAGCTGGGTTAGTGTTTGATACAGTATGATTAAGCCACTTGTGTGCTGGACCCAAGAGCTAGTGGACAATTTAAAAATTGGCAATTTGGGTCTGAATTCAGTGTATTAAAACAAGATGAGAAAGGGACATATATTAGGATTTGATTAGTGGAATTTGTATGCTAGTGTTTACAAACCAATTTTAAATGATTTACACCTTAATTATTTGGTTCCCTATAGTGGCATGGTAATTAAAACGTGATCAATGGAGTATTAGAATAAGTAAGTTTCCATCTTTTCTCAAAGTATTTCATGGGTAGAATACAGACCTTAATAATTGTGTTTAAAAAATCAAACAAATTTGCAAACAAATTATTAGTCGGTCATGATGTAGCTAGAATTTTTATTAAAATGATTGAATACAAAATTTGAATATATATCTATGTTTATCTAAGCGTATCTTCGAAATAAGTTTTTTTTATTATTTCTCAAGTCTAATCATAACTTGAAAGTGTAATTTCAAAATTTACCTATTTGAAAGTAAATGAGTAAATTTATTTATTTTCTTTCTATATTTTGATACAATATTTTAAAGATAGTGATTTGAAAAGTGTAAATTTAATTATGAGATTTATTATTAAAAGATAACACTACAAAATATGCAAAATAAAACACACAAAAGATATTTGTACTCATTTTCGATATTCAGAAGCCCGGAAAACTTCCAATCAAAATTATTATTCAGATTCCGGCGGCTTTCCGGCTGTTCGCCGACCATTAACCAGTCGTCGTAAAACCCAGCTCCGGTAAGTGCTAAAGCTTTAGCCTTTCATTATTATTTGTTCTTTCTTGAGCTGATTTGATCTTATTCTAAACTAATTTGGGTCTCTGAAATCATTTAATTGTTCAAAAATAGTTTGGGGTTTGAAATATTCAATTGATTTTGATATATAAGCATGTAAAGGTAGAATCTTTATGACTGCATAATAAGAATTTAATGTAGAGCAGCAAAAAGGAATTTTCTATCAGATGTACTGGTTAAAATTTAAGGACCAAACAGAAGTTATGGTTTTTTTCCAGAATGTACTATTGCTAGAGTTTGGTTGAGCGGAGGGTCTATCGAAAATAGTCTCTCTACCTCTTATAGGTAGGTGGGGTTAATATTTTTTTTTATCTACATATAGTAGATGTCGAATTACCTTCCGCTAGTTCATGTGTTTACTTTTTTAGAGTTTGAAACCCCTAAATGAAAATCCTGGCTCCGCCACTTTGCAGGATTACACTGGGTATGTTGTTGTAATATTGCTGGAGATAACTAGTAGGATCTCATGAGTGGACCAATTATTTGCAAGACTTCATCTATTTCAACTTCATGAAGGCAAAGCTGTTGAAAGATGTTTAAAGAACCATATTTTTTTGGTTAATTGGATAGATATATGTACTTGACAAAGTTTACAAGTTAAGGGTAGCGCTAGAGATCCTTGATAGTTCATTGATGTAAACCAAATTAGTCTTTTGAAAGTAGTTTCTAGAATGTCTACACATACTGCGTCATTTGCAAAATACTTAGCTTGAAGGAACTACCAAAGTACTTAGCTTATCAAAAAGTTTCTTCTTTGCTCCTCCTTAGCAAGAAGGTCTGCTAACCTATTTTGCTCTCCGTAGTTATGCTTGATGTCTGTATTCCTCAGTCTTTGCATCAATAACCTGCGTTCAGAAGTAATAGAAGAGTGATGAATGTGTCCTTGTTTAGTCATTTTGTTACCTCCATAGGATCAAATTGCTAGGACTTAATTGATCACATGACCTACTTTAGTTTGCAATATTTATGAGGATTTTTTTTTGTATAACCATCTGGTATCCGGTTCGAGCCCCTGTGAATGAAGAATCCCCTGTAACGACTTCTTTTATGAGTATCTGATGACAGGTCACATGGACATGCCAAAAGGAGACAAACTTGTGCTGAGGGGTTTAAAGTTTCATGGATACCATGGGGTGAAGCAAGAGGAAAGGAAGCTTGGTCAGAAGTTCCTGGTAGATGTTGATGCTTGGATGGATCTTCGACCTGCTGGTGAATCTGACTGCTTGTCCGATACTCTAAGTTATACTGATATATACCGGTGAGTGATGCTTTCGAGTTTGTTCATTTTGCATTTTTGATAGTTGAGATGAACGAACAGAAAGAACTTTATTTCATAGCTTAATAAATGAAACATCTTGAATATTTCTGTAACAAGGTTCTTTAGCTCAGAGGTCCGTTTAAATAATACTCTTTTCACCGGATAGAAAACATACGAGGATTGAGCAGTTTCACCAAAGTTAAATTGGGTTATAAACAACTGTAAAAGGACTAATGATTTTATAAGTTCTCGTAATAAGAACTTGACTCATTTGAAACATTTTCGAGAGCATACTGAAGCAGATTCTTGATGCTATGTTGTTTTTTGGATATTCCATCATACATTGGAATTTTGATGCCACCGCTAGAGGCTCTCGTAATCTTATACTTTCTTGAGGAAAAAATGGACTATTGCCTTATTATTATTTATCTTAGAGGAGTTCATTTCCACCCGAGGGCGGGATCTAGTGGCCTGGATCCTGATTACTCGAGTAAATCTCTTGTCAGTGTGTGGTAATAAGAAACACCCGAAATTCCAGTAGCTCAATCACTGATACAAGGTAATTTTCCTATTGGCGCTAACTGATCTCCTGGACTGTGTTTGCTTGTAAGTTACAGTTGCTTTTCTTGTCTTAGCAGTCTTTAAGAATAAACATTTCGCGGATCAATTTTCTAGCTAGGCACGTATGCTTGTTTTGGCGTGATCATTCATTGATTCTATCTTTTAAATCTATGGATTGGCAGAATAGTGAAAGAGGTTATGGAGGGGTCACCTAAAAATCTGCTAGAATCTGTGGCTCAGCTTATAGCATCGACAACCCTCACCAAGTATCCACAGGTATCTGCTGTTCGCGTTCAAGTTGGAAAGCCTCATGTGGCCGTCCAAGGGCCTGTTGACTACTTGGGCGTCGAGATCATTAGATACAGAGATCTTGGTGTTCAAAACTAGTACATGATGCTTGTATTATTAGCAACTTCAAATTTCTGCTGTTTGACAATCATTTTCAAGCCAGTACAATTTGATCAATTGTCTCAAACTCTTGATACTTAATTGAATAATGCCTTCACTACACACTTCTGCAGGGGCACAAAGTTCCCAAAAATAAAAGGACAGTCCGGTGCATGATGCATTCCACGTTCACACAGGTTTCGGTGCAATCTACCTTGAGCAAGCATCATTGATTTCGTAGTTCGAACACTTTACCATTGCTCAAAACAAGAATATAGAAATTGAATTGAAGTACTTCTAGGTAATACTTTTGGCTGGAAAAGAAAGTTGACAAAAATTAAATTGTATTTACTGAAAATAATGATAGCTCTTTAGGGCAAGAAAAATGAACTCTCTCCGTGGAAATAAGAAACACAAGTTTCATAAGTGACATTTTACTCGATTGCCTGCTCCTTACACAATCATCACTACCATCATAATTCTATTTGCTTAGATTATATATAGATATTATTAAAATATTATTTTTTACTTACTTACCAAAATAAAAAAAGTATGAAAACCTCTAGTTTAAAAAAAAAGTATTTTTCCTGAAAAATAATTTTCGAGAAAGATATTTCTCTGTACCAAACACACACTTTTTAGTAGCACATCCATCTTGTTATAACAATTTAAAACTAATCATAACGTCAATTTTTTGGAAAATGATATACGTAGTTTCAAAATATCTAGAGAAGAATTTATATTTCAAATATTTGCTCAAAACAACGTATTTCAGACAATAATATTGAGTTTATCGAAAAACATCATCTCTATATTTCACAAGATACTAATAAAACTGCATATACACCACCCTTTTCCGATCACTCTCATAAGATTAGTTGTTGTTATAATAATATTGGGGATATTTTTCTTTTTCATAAAAAATTAGAGGACAAAATAAGGCTAATTAGACCATAGAAAAATATAAAAACAGGAATGTGGAACGCGCACAGCCCCTGCACCACTCTCCATTTCCCAAAGCCCGTGTTCTTCGCGGCGGCCGGAAAATCAAGAAACATTTTATCCACCACCAGTCTACTACCAGTATGGCTAAAATGGCTGCTGACCCTTTTTCTGTACGGACAGAAGCTACTTGTTCGTCTTCTCCATTGAACCTTCGAAGCTCAAAGACAGCTACTTTTCGAATTCGAGCTCATAATAATCAGCACATCGATGACAAGAACAGATTCTACAAAGAGCTTGGTTTGTTTCTTCTCTTCTCTGCTTGTGTTCTTGTTCCAGAAATATCAAGTAAAATCAACAAAAAAAAAAAGGTTACTACCATCTTTAATAGTTTAAGTTTGAGTTAATACTCCTAAAGTATCACTCTTTCGCACGACTCTCGTAGTTCAACTATTGTTCTATTTAGCTATCTAAACTGTTAATTTTTCGAGAGTTTCCTACCTTAATTATCACTCCGTTTGTATAAAAAATACACTAAGATGCAGAGTTGGCCTACGTGTGCCCTGTTGTCTATTGGGAATAAGTATTTGCCCGACTCAGCATTGAGGTGTGTTTTAATACAAAGAGAATGCTAATTTAAACAGGTAAAGAGAATAATGGATAGTTGAGGTATGAAATTCATGAATTGAGTGGGTCTACATGCGTCTGTTGTCGATTGGGAACAAAGATTTGGCTAACTAAGTATTGAGGTGTGTTTTAATACAAAGGGAGTGATAGTTTAGATAGGTAAATAGAATAATGGATAGTTGAGCTACGAAACTCGTGAAAAAGTGATAATTCGGGTGTGTTTTTGATCATTAACTCTAAGTTTTTAGAATGAGGTGGTTGCTAAGTTGAGCTGAAATTTTAACTTCATTATCAGTCTTCGTGATTCTTTTAAGAAGGTTCGTCAGTGAGGTGATTGTAAACATAAAATAAATAAGTTTACTTGTCCTTGCTTTATTAACTTTTAGATGAATTTAACTTCTTTTGGGTTATGGATTATTTTGTGCGAGGTGTTGAGGTATAAATTTGAAGTATTACCAGTAGTGTGCAAAGACTAGTGTTTGAGACTGAGAGAATGGATACAGAGAAAGCTCAGTGAGATAGTGAGGGACAATTAAGCAGGCTAACTTACAGAAAGATGGAACCTTCTGAAGTGCTTAGTAAACTGTAAATAAGAATGAGGGTAAAGGGCAGCCCGTTGCACAAATCATCCCGCGTTAGCAGGGTCCGGGGAAGGGCCGGCACCCCAAGCGTGTGATGAAGACAACCTACCCTAATGCAAGTATTAGTGGCTGCTTCCATGGCTCAAACTCGTGACATACATTGCTCCAAGGCTCCCCTTCCAAAAATAAGAAAGAATTGAGAAGGAAATGGTAAGGCGTGACTAGGGTGTAGGCAGTGCACACAGCAGCGGAGTCACAACCAATCGTTGCATAATTATGCATAGGAAAAGATATTTCTTGAAATATATTGAGAGAAGGCTAATTTGAATCCCCTTGACATAAGGAGAATTTAACTTGTAGAGGCAAAAGTAGTGCAAGGTAGTTCAAAAGTAGCTTTAGATGATAAGTGCGGAATTTTTTAATTCCTTTGTGAAAATGCCCTTATCCACAAGGGGAAATGAAGTACATGCATTTATTTTTCCTTTTTCACACACCAGGAGATCTTCCTTAACAGGTCTTAATGCTTTTTAAAGTGTTGTCTAGAGAAGATAGCATGGGAAAGTGGACAATTTAAAGGGAAGAAACACTAAATAGCTGAGAAGAATCTTTGTCAAGAAGCATGTGAATGCAACACAATCAAGTTAGAATCCTCAACATATTCATGTTCCTAAATCGACTCACCATTAGAAAAATTATACACAGCATCAAGATACTGCTATAAAATCTTGGCATCGAATGCGTGTATAGTAAGTAATATTCTGTTAATTTTTTGAGGTATGGATGGTCTCATGATGTAGGCACATTTGCTTTGAAAAGGAAGATTGAAGATTTGGTACTCCGTGCTGAAATGTTGGCACCAACAGCACTAGAATTTGAAGAAGCAAGACGCCTCAAGCAGGAAGAAATTATTCGTGAATATGATTTGTGGGATGACGTAGCCAAGTCAAATGAAGACCTTGTGCAATTAGCTGAAAGCGCCAAAGCGGTTGATGCCCTCAAAGACCTTAGATACAAGGTATCATGCAAGATAACCCAAAGCTAATTCTCACTTGTCAGCATATGTTTATTGCCTAGTTATTTAAGACTTAAAAGGGAAAACCATAAAACTCAAATTTTATTCCATTGAGTGTGCTTCTGCAGGCTGAAGAAGCTAAGCTGATTACGGAACTAGCAGGAATGGATTCTATCAACTATGACTTTTTAAAGCAGGCGTATACAGCTTGTGTCAGTGTGAATAAGACATTAGATAAGTATGAAATGTCCAAACTTCTCAGGGAGCCATATGATATGGAGGGAGCATGTGTGACCATTGAATCTGGAAACGAGGGCATTTACTCGCAGGTATTCACCTGTGATCTCTTGCTATATTGCCGCATGTACTTGCAGAGTCAATAGTAAAGGTCCATATGCATCTCAGGTGAAAAAAGTAGGCCAATGAGTGTTCTGAGATATAAACATGCTATTAGGTAGGTATAAGAAGTGGAACTTTCATGATGAGTTCCCTGCATTTGAAGTTGCAAGGAGGGAAGGGGGTTATATTTGTATTATCAGTGCCCTTGCTCCTTATTACTGTTCACTTATATACTCATCTCAACCATAAAGTTAATAGTCAATCTGCACCATAGATTCTTCTCCCAAAAAGATTTAAATTTCGACTGTGAGAAACTTATTTTACATGGAAATGATTCTGAACTTCCAATTTTTTTGTTCTTTATGGAAAACATCGAATTTCGGAAAGGAGGTAGTAGTTTGTAGACCTGATGCCTGATAAGGTTTATAGTTGAGATTAGGAAGTAGGTCTACTAGCCTTCTACTCCTAGCAACTCGTCTTCAAGCTGCTCATGAACATCTATTTATTCTACTTATTCAAAGTCGAAGAGATGGGTTTTCTTCAAGCTGATGTAGCTTTATTTCCTTAGAAATTTCATTCTAGGCAAGACTCTGGTACTGTTTCTCACTGTTAGACTTATCCACTTTGATCCAGATTTGGGCAGAAAAACTCACAAGAATGTATATCAAATGGGCAGAAAAACAAGGTCATAAGGCGAGGATAGTTGAGAAACAAGATTCAGAGAGTGGTGGTATCAAATATGTGATGATTGAGTTAGAATTCAAGTCAGCATACGGCTATCTTTCAGGAGAAAGAGGAATCCATTGCATGAATGGAAGTTCTGAAGGTAAATTTGATCTTTTAAAGGTATGAATCTGAGGACTCTTAGCTCAAATTTAGTTCTCCCCTGTCGCTATCAGTTGATTATGTGAATTATAATATTCCAATAGTTTCCTATTTCCTACTCAATCCTTTGAGTTATGTGTTCTATGAGAGTCATTAGACATATTCTTGTTGGCCTTTTAAGAGGAGAACATTTTTCATGTGTCGTCTTAAATCTCAGTGATGCATTCTGCTTAGAGTTTAGTTTATCTGAAGTGAATAAATCACAACCGCTGACCGTTAGTTGAAAAATTCTCTGTAATCTATTTCAGGTCATAAAATGTGACTACTACCTATTAATGTTATGAAGGAAACTGTGATTGTCCAACATTTAACTGAAAAGGAGAAGATATAATAATTATCATGGTGTGTATTATTGCATAGATAAAATAAAGTACATCAAGTTTTGAGTGGAAGTAGTATAGAACTTATAGAACTTGATGATTTATGAAACAATCTTAAATTTACCATGCTTCGATGCAGTTCAATAGTCAGTAGAATAAGGGGTGACTTATGAGTTAACAATAGTCAGTACTCAGTAGAATAAGGAGTGAAAACAAACATATGACGCAAAGTACACTGATCTCTTCCTATTACCAAACTTGCACTAAGATAAAATAACCCCCTTCCATTTTCCTAGAACATGGAATTCAAATCACTCGGCCATCGATTTTCATGATGAGGTATTGCTTTTGCGAAGAAAGAGCTCCTTACGTGATGATGTCACAGAGACTTTATATGTCAGGAAAGAGGGGAACTTTAAAATGAATACTGAAATTCCTTTAAACTATTGGGAAGACAAGAACTTTAAACTTTTGAAGTATTAACCGACTAATGAAGGATGATGATTCGACACATGTTTTGTCGAGCAATCATTATGTACCTTACATTAACACAACGGTCTATCTGGCTACTTGTATCCTCTTAGATGTTCATCAAAATGATAAAATTTACAGGTTAATCTTAATGGATTGTGCAGGATGGAGCTGCTGCGATCAATGTTATTCCTCTTTTTCTTGAATCATCCCCTGACCTCCAAATTGATGAAAACGATCTAGAAATTACAACATCGTATGAAGAGGAACAGGGCAGGACTTCACCTTCACTCACCATTCAGCACATTCCAACAGGATTGCAAGTCCGGTCAACAGGTAATAATGGGTGATTTGAGTTGAGTATCATTGTCACTATAGGTGATTCATAGTACTTTGATGTTTTTGCACAATGATCTGTTTAAGGTTTCTACATACACACATAATCTTCTCTATATTTGTATGTGTGTAGAAAAATTTATTTGGTGTGTCTATGGATCTGAATATCCACGAAAGTCCGTCCCAACAATTGTTGCTGAGTGCAGAAGTTAGGCAGTATCGCCTGGAGAGTTGTCTTTTAGTTTTTAAGTCGAATGTTCATTACTATAATAAGTAGTCGACTAGGAAAGAAAAATAAACTTTTGCAGTCTGTCCTGCTGATCGTAGAGAAGTTAAGCAGTCATACAGACTGCTATAGAGACTCTAATAGATACTGATGCATGCAGAAGTTCTTTTTAAAAAATACTTTGAAGGAAATTACCTTGCAACTCTGTTGATTTTCCTTTCTCTGAGGTTAGACTTAGAACAATGAGAACTGAAGAATTATATGTCAAGAAGCACTGTTCTCAAAGGGTATGAGATATAGCATGACAAGGAAACTTCTTCTATGGTTTGTCTCCAGTTACAGAATTGGATACATTTTCAACAAGCAAACGAGTTAAATGTCTATGGGGCACCCAATAGAACATAATAAGTCTATATAATACATATAAGTTGTTACATATCATTGTAATCACGTGGACACCATATTTAAGTGTGTCGTTAAGTGAACTCAAAAGAGTTGCTTGAATGTTGGGCGCATTCTTGTCCCTTGGTCATTCAAAAGTCATACTGCACATAAAAGTGATACATCACATTTTGGAGAAAAAAAGGTTGTGTTTCAAGATTCTGCAGTAGATTGTATGCTATCACATGGTTGACAGATTCATGATAGGTGCTGGAAATACTGTCTTATATTCATATTCCATTGATTTTCTGATAGCTGTGAGATACAGTCCAAGATATTTGTGTCCGACACAAATGTGTTGCCGCCTTAGGAGAATATATGCTCTAAATTTGTGGCTGACTAGTACATTTTGCCTGTGCAAGATAAATGTTTATTTTCCACATATAAAATCTCTTTTGCTTTCTCAACTTTTTTGGGCCACTCTCTACCATGAGAGTTTCTATTTACAGGTGAAAGAAGTCGTTTCGCAAATAAGCTCAAGGCCCTGAATCGCCTAAAGGCAAAACTTCTCATTGTAATGAGGGAGCAAGGAGTCTCAAACTTGGCTAGCATCAGAAGTAGTGATATATCTAGTAGTTGGAACCAAGTGATAAGGAGGTATGTATTTCATCCAAACAAACTGGTAGAAGATATGAAGACGGGCGTCCAATTGTCTGACCTTACTGCTGTGTTAAACGGAAACATTGAACCATTTATCGGTGCTCACATCAACAGCAGACGACATGAAATCCCATGATACATATAGCTTTGTACTCCTCTCATGCAAAAAAAGAAGAAAGAAAGAGAAATTTTGTGATAGAAAAGAAGCAGATAATGGTGACGGGTGGGAGAGAAAAGCAGCCACTGCTCCATGTTCTTGTATTCTTAAGTTGGTAGTAACTTATTATGTAGCTGTGCTCTACAAATCTGTAAAATTTTGCTCAACGTCTATCAGAAACAACCTGTCTACTCTCTCAAAGGTAGGGCTAAGGTTGTGTATACACCACCGTCCCCAAACCCTACTAGTGGGATTACACACAGTATGTTGTTGTAAGAGAGATTTATTTCAATTCTAAATTTTATCTTTTTCATGTATATATCAAGCCATCATAGTACAAAAGAGGTTGATTCCCCATGTGCAGAGTATGGGGTTGGACCGAACCACAATGGTCTATGCAGCCTTACCTACATTTCTACAAGTAAACCCATAACCTCCTGATCACGTGACAATGACTTTATCAATTACGCCAAGGCTCCCCCCTTCCACGATGCACAATAGCACGAAAATATAAAATAATTCAATTGAAAGCATTTTTGTTTTTGATAATTAATTCGATCGAGCATGGAGCTTTTGCACTATCACAAGAAACAGAAAGTTGCAATTTCATCTCTCATCAAAAACATTATACAAGGCGTTTACATTCTTTGCAGTCTTACCAAGAAGTTTCTTGCAAAGAAGAGCAAATTTACATCAGACCTATTATTGAGTAAAATATTACAAGCTCACAAAGTGAACTAATGGGGAAAAAGAATATGACTCTCAATGAAATAAGGAGAGTAAAAAAACAAATTTCTTTAGGAAAATAAAGCTTCTAAATAGTCATCAACATAAGCTAGGCATGGCCAGTGATCTGTTCGAATTCGAACGAGTGTAGAAGTATTAGAAACTTCCATCTGAAAAAGGAGATGAAATCTTGGTGGAAGGAATATCAAAATCTGAATAATGCCTAGGTTTTTCTTACTAATTTGGACATAACCCCCTTCTCCATCATCTTCATCATCCTTGTACTTGAGGTAAAGCGGTCCCCCAACTAAACTGGTTTCCGCGATGGTATCATCCATGGAAGAGGAACCCAAGTTAATCTCATCCCATGTAATGTCCCTTATAACTCCTCCCTCCTTCATGAGGTTGGTTAGAGAATCACCGGTTACACATACAATAAAAGGTGCCAAGGATCGCTCAACGGCTTGGATCAAAGATGCCACAGGAACCTCTAGTAACTTCACGGAGCGAGTACCACTGATTGCTACAACCCCTTTGCCTCCTTTGAGTACAAATGTCTCCCGCCCAGTGCTGGTTGAAGCGCCACATGCTTCCCACAAAGCATTGAACAGATCCACGTAGTAATCACGTTCTGCATCTTCAGGGATGTCTTCTGGAACAATAGCTTTGAGAAACATATCTTCAATTCCTACTGTAATGTTATGCAGCCGTCCTCTAATGATCTGACCATTATCCGCATTCGTTTCAATGAAAACATCAACAAAACCAGGTATTGGATCCTGTGGTTCCAATTCAATCAGAACAGGAGCTTTGAAGCTTTTGTCATCTCCAGGAGTTTCAGAAACATCTTCCACAGGGATAATATCAAGGGAATTCGTCTGGCTAAAAGAGTAGAAACCTTTGGGGGGTTGACCTAGAAGAAAAGGAATGTGGCATGATGGAATGGGGCCATATGGCGCAGACGAAGAGAACCTGAGAACAGTTGCATATAAGGCAGGAAGGGTATCGACTCCATTAGCTGGCAAATTGTTTCCCCAAATGCGACTGAAGGGCTCTGACTCAAACCTTAAAGTACAGGATATTTTGATCTTGGCACCCGGCATGTGTCTAAAGTCAGGAATAAATGAAAAATGCTTCCTCAAGATTTCAACTATCTGTGAAATCTTTGAATCCATCACACGTAATGGCTCCGGAGGCTGATTGTGCCGATTGGCTTCAGAGATCACTGTATCATCAGTAATTTTGTCAAACTCACTTTGCTCACTTGGGGACGCGTTGTCCTTGATGGGTTCTATATAACTAGGTTTCTTGGCATCAAATCCCAGGGCTGGCAGGGACAAAGACCAAGATTGTTTAACCAACAATGGCACAATGCGCTCAAGATGCATGCAGGACGAAATATTCCTAGATTTCTTAGGGTCGTGAGAAAGTCTAGGAGACTGAACACTGAAGAAAGAGCTGGAATGGGTAGATGGAGAAATTCCAGGAAGCTGGTCCCCACTGTTTAGAATGTCTCTTAGCTTTTTCCCAGGAACACAAATCAGCATCCGCAGGTAAATTCTGCAAAATACCACCAAATGTTAGAAAACAATAGTATATTGCACACTCAATATGTTTATTTTCCCCAGTTAATCCTACAAAGTGCAAATTCAATGGTGAACAAGCTTCCCAATGTTATTGACATCTTTCATTTGCGGTGAACAGGTGACGATATAAACAATGTGTACATCCGAACAGAATGAGGTAAGAAATGGGATGGAGATATTTCTCATAGTATTACCTGGCATTATCACGAACTTCCAGATCTGGGAAATAAAGACAAGTGAATGATAAAAGACGAGACAACCCAACAAATAATTTGGAACTATAGTGATGCATGATCATAGTTCGACAAATTCCAAGAACTTTACTCCCATGACTCCAAGACCTTAATCCTGTATCTGGACCATGTTTTTCAACAAGAACTACCATGAACCTGGTAAGGAGCTCTATTAACCCACTAGGTGAAACTTTATCACTCTCAGCAATCCTTTCCAATATACAGAAGTAAGATACCAATTTGTAGTCTATCTTGAGTTTTGGAAGCAAGTTATCATCGAATGTCTTAAGTAGGCGTTCTCCCAAAAATTGATGTTTGTAACATGTCAACAAGCGGTCTGTGAAGCCAACAATGACAGGGACCAATCCTCTATATTCAGACAAAGAGTCTATAAGTGTTCTCTGCAAAACATAAGTCAAGCTTCAGAAACATTTAGGCAAAAAATATATGAGCATCATTGCAAAATCAGAGTAGAGTATCAGTACTACTGATAAGTCAGGAGGAGATGCATCATCTGTCATTCATTTCTAAACTCCTATAAGACAAACTCCAATAACACCTCTACGATATAGCTCCCAAGATAAAGTAATCAACATCCGCATTTTGACAAGAAGTGGAAGACATTAAAGCTACACACGTGGCAGGGCACCTATAGATGGCCTGAAGGAAGAACTTGTTATATATTGTTGGAGAGTTACGGTGTATTCAGATTCTTTTCACCAAAGTTCTTATCTTTCATTGGAGTACATCTTCTAGACCTCTCTATTATGCTACAGCCTTCTAACCTTCTTTCATCAATAATATGTTTTCCTCTATACTTTCAAATTCAAACAGATCAAGTAAAACGGAAAAGAAGAAAATATCTAGCGACTGTTTGCACATAGAGACGCAAAGTGAAAAGAATGTAAAGCTCTTTCCTTTTAGTGAAGCACCAAATGCGTCAAACCAATGCCACAGACTCAAAGTAAGAATAGAACAACAGGTTCAAAGTATGTGTACCTGCACAGTATGGTAGATTGCTGGCTCCAAAAGGCTTTTATTGGAGATAGAATCATTTTCTGAGTGAGATGTCTGACCGATCAAAAACTTATGGATTGCACGGAATGCCACAAAAGTTTCCATACTCCAAGGAGGCAACCATTTAAAAGCTGATACACAAACAAGGCCATCTTCAAATAACTTTTCCCGAGTCATTTGTGGACTGCCTTTTGAACTCATTACTCCATTGACATTATCAATCAAAACTGAACAATAGGCAAGCAAGTCAAGCTTCAACGATTTCAAAGCGAGGGGATCAAACACCGATGGGTAAAAGCTCAAGCTCATATCAACAACATTCTTCCTTTTCTCGAAATCCCTCTTCAATACCAACCCTATGAACCCAACTAACCAATGCAGCACCAACAATCGAAAAAACAAATGATGCTGGGATTCTTTGGATAACAACAACAGTCGACTCGCAATTTCCATCTCTTGCCCTTCGAAAGAATCCATATAGCTTAAGTACATGACTAAATATGCATGCCATAGCAAAGGATCATATGTATGAAGCAATCCCGAAAACTGAACCTTCAACAAAGATGGCTGCAAATCCAATACTGCAGCAACTGGCAATGTCTTATCCATGAACTCCAATAACCCCCAAGGAGTCAAATTCTGTGGACATTCAAGCAAAAAAGCAACCACTCTCCTCAACTCCCTGTTACTCAAATCCGATAACTCCCCTTGAAAATGTCCATTTTTAACATTTTCATCAACCAAAAACCTAGGTACAGTAAACGGAACCAATGTCGAAGAATTACTGAATGAAACAGTAGGTTTTAATCTAGCAATGTTATGAACAACAGTTGATAACAATAATGCATAGCTTTGGGCAGCATGAGTACGCTCATTTTGGCACAAACTCCACAAATGTGATCCAATTTCCGAAAGTAAACAAGGAAAAGCAGTTTCTAATTCACGTAAACACTCGCAAGCAATTGATCGAGTTTGCCGGTCAACGCTATGATTCGGCCGGTTAATAATAGTCAACAAAAGCTCAATTAAACTTTCAAGAGGAGTAACAAAGCTAGAATCGAGACAATTCGATGTATAACTCACGTAATTGACGAAAATTGAAGTTGAAGAGATAAGAAACTGTTCCTTGAGAGCGAACGACGTTGAAACGCCGTCGTTTGGTGATTGGATTACTGACCGGAGGGCTTCGAGGAGACGGCTGAGGAAATTAGGTGAAACGATGTCGTTTTCGTCTGTGCTGAAGTGCTCTTCGATGAAGATGAGGAGCTGGAGTTTGAGATTGTGAGGGATATCTTTCCGGAGAAGTGAGGAAAGTGTGAGGTCAAGGAGAGGAACGGCGGCGTAGTTGATGGAAGTCCACCGGAGCCGCCGTGAACCGCCGTGGTTGTAATCGTCGATTAGATTTTCCCATTCTTGCGCCGATAAGGGTTTGAGTTCCGGTGACATTTGTTGGGTAATGACTCGGCCCGAGTCCGAGTCTTCAAAACTCGGTTGATTAATGGATCTTAGTTCTCCTCATTTTTTTGTCAGCTATAAGACAATGTCCGAAGGTGACACTTGAACTATACGACGTTTTAATTGAGCATCTAAACACATAATAACGTTTTTTAACTAAATATTTTCATCTACATAATTGATACTTGAAAACATATGCAAAAAGTTTCAAAAGTTTGAGTCGGAAATATATCTAATAGAAATATTTTATCACGTGTTCAAATATTTAATTGGAACAGGTTGTAGTTTGAGCGCCCAAATGACATGTA